CAGGGGCAGTTTAACAGGAGATATATCTTTTTCTGTAGTCAGCTGATGCTCAGAATGAATCCTTAAAAGAGGACTAAGAGTTCATTGGTTGAGCGTTGTCCCATGCACTGAAAGGTAGCCAGTTGATTCCCAATCTGGGCACGTACCAGGTTGCGGGTTCGATCTCTGGTTGTGGTGCGTGTGGGAGGCAGCTGATCTCTAAAATCAATAAAAACATTAATTACTTTTTAAGTATTAAAGAGCTCTTTATTGGCTTGTTTAGAGCTAGATAAAATTTAGGGGTCTATGAGGAAGAGAGAAGCCTGACTAACTTTGGTCAAGCCAATTCAATGGGGCATTTGTGAGCATTTGGCCAGTACTCAATATAAATTTTTTTGGATAATGTGTCTTGACGGGGAATCAAACCCATCACCTTTTGGTGTACAGGATGACACTCCAACCAACTGAGTCATAGCAGCCAGGGCGATACTGGCATTTTCTAAGAGAGTATTTCCAATTTCAACTAGGATCTCTGCCCCTTGGGAACAGGAGCCATATCTTATAACTAATTTTATCCCCAATTCTTAACACAGTTGCCTGCACAATAGTAACATGGTAAACATATTAACTAATATTTAAAAGAAATTTTCCACAATTTGATCTAAAAATCAAACCTGCAACCCAGGTACATGCCGTTGACCAGGAGTTGAACCTGCCATCCTTCGGTGCTCGGGCCAGTGCTCTAAGCCCTAATGCGTGCTGGCCAAGGTGAGACTTTTTATTTTAGGCAAAGGAAATCAGAAAGCTTTTTGAGTTGGATAAAGTTGAAGTATTAGAAGTAGAAAAGGGAAGGAAAAGTGTTGAGGATGTTAAGACATTTTACCTTGCTTCCTGCTTCACTAAGATTATGAGATCTGAAAATGAATGATTCAAAGCCTGAACGTTGTCTTAGGAATGCAGAAAACATTTAGAAAGGCGACTAGTGAAAGTTTGGTAGGAAGTTACTAAAGGAAAATAGGATTCTTACATACCCATGTAGGTCCCACTAAAGAAATGATGGTGGCTGTTTGGGTTATATGGGTTTTAGGAAGTCAGAAGGTAACTTCTTTGGAATGGAAGATATTGAGGGCATATATGCTATAACTAGGAGCAAGTATGTGTGGATCCAATGTATTTCTTTAGTAGATTGAAAGTATTGCAGATCAAAGTATACCTTTTAGATATCGCATTAATATATTGCTAAATAGATATTGGTGACAGTATAGTAGAAAGTATTTAAGTATCAGAAGGGTAGTTAGGATGAACTCTGTGATTTCCTTTCAATACGTGTAGGTTTACATACAGTTCTTTAAAAATCCTTAATTATAAATGATCAGTACTGCTAACTTACACACACACACACACACACACACACACACACACACACTTTTTTTTTCTTGTACTATGAAGGAAGGCTTAAATGACCAGAAAATTCCTTTGGATTTTGTAGTTCAGTAGAAATGTTAATGTTTAACTTGACAGTCATAAGACATTTAGCTATCACCTAATGCCATAGATTTGGCACACAGTTTTCCAAGCATAGTGCCATAGAGAAAGGTGCCCAATAAATATTACATTATGTAGCATTTAGCATTCTACCCTTAATTAATAGGGATCTATTTTCTGATTTTTATAATTGGCCCATATTGTAAGGGGTTAGCCTATATAATAAAAGGCTATGCAAATAGACTGAAAGGTGGAACACCGAACAACCAAACAACCAGTCACTATGATGTGCATTGACCACCGGGGGCGTGTGCAGAACATGGCAGGCTTTGGCCACAACAGGATGGTGGGGTAGGTGAGCAGGGGTGCCAGACCAAGGTGAGGTGCTGGTCGCTGTCACTGGGGTGAGCCTCTGGTGGTTACTGAAAATTCTTTGCTCCCATGTGCTGCGGTCCTGCCTGGCACTTGCACCTGCTGCTGGTGCTGGCCCCGCTCGCACCCGCAACTGGCGCCAGAGCCGCTGCTCGCACCCGCTGCCAGTGCCCAGCGCCTGTCCCAATCACTCGGCACCATCAGTGGGTGTGAGCAGCAGCTGCCGGCTCCAATAGCCCCTGAGGGCTTCTCCACCTCTCCCTGCTCCTGAGGGGTGATTAGGGCAGCAGCCCCCGCTCACACCCACTGCTGGCGCCAACCCCAATCACTCTGTGCTGTCAGCAGGTGTGAGCAGGGCCTGCACTGTCAGCGTGTGGGAGCATCAGCAGTGGGAGCAGGGCTGCTGGCAGAGAGGGGACTGGGAACTGCAGTGGGAGGGGTCAGGTGGGGGCGTAGAGGATGGGCCGAGACCCACCCCTGTGCCTACCACAGCCTCGCAGCCCACAGTTCCTTTTAAGGTGCACAGATTTGTGCACTGGGTCCCTAGTTTTAAGATAATGCAAAGTTGTCTTAGGAATGCAGAAAACGTTTAGAAAGGCGACTAGTGAAAGTTTGGTAGGAAGTTACTAAAGGAAAATAGGATTCTTACATACCCATGTAGGGACTGATAAATCAGTGTGATGTTTGAAAGCCTGAAATGAGGTAAAAGTGAATCTGTGAGGTCCCTGGCCAGTGTGGCTCAGTTGAGCATTGCCCCATGCACTGAAAGGTTGTAGGTTCGATTCCCAGTGGGGATACATGCCTGGGTGGCTGGCTCAATCCCCAAAAGTGGGCATGCAGAAGGCAGCCAATTAATGTTTCTCAAATCAATAAAACCAATTAAAAAATAGTGAATATGTGAGGGTAATTTACTAATTTGCTAATAGCAGCAGTAAATACACTGATTAAGCAGAAAGGACTCTTAGTCACTTTTTAAAAAAGCTCTCTGCCCATTTGTTTTTGACTAAGAACGTTGGATTTAAGCTTAGAAGAGAAGTTCAGGTTTGTTGTACTTACAGATGAAATTAGTGGTCATCATAACTCCATTTGGCAGACATAGTCCATAAATTGGCTTACTTAGCACTTTTCTGAGCATTTTAATTTTTTGAAATTAATTTTTTAAAAGAGGGAGTGTTTGCTTTTAAATGGTTTGTGGTCTTGGTTCTGGGTGACGTATTTTAAACCTTTAGTAAGTAATTGTGAGAGAAGATCATGTGGATTAGTTCATCATAACTGGTCTTATTTTTGCTGCCTCACTTGTGTTCTTGACCTCAGCCTGTTCTGTACAACCACTTGTTAATTTAAATTTTAATGAATTAAGGTTAAATAAAATTAATTTCTTTGTCACACTAGCCACATTTTAAGTGCTCCATAGTCACATGTGGCTGGTGGCTACTGCATTGCATAGTGGAGAGAACACTTCCGTCATCACAGAAAGTCTGTTGGGTAATGGTGCTCTAGGTCTTTACTGTTGATACCAGGAAAGTAAATGTCTGAAGCTTGGAACAGATCCTTTAAAAAAACCCAGATATAACATTTGTACTACTTCAGTCCTAATAGTAGCTTCAGCTTTCTCAAAGTACGATTTAGGATAGACTTTATGTTTAGTTTTGATATTAGGCCATTCTAATATTAATATGAGATTAAAATAATTGTATTAAGAACTCTCTCTGCCTATTTATATAACAGTTTTATTATAGCATAATTGCTCTGCAATAAATTGCACATATGTAAAGTATAAAATTAAGTAAGTTTTGACATGTATACATCTCTGGAACCATCATCATAGGCAATATAATGTAGCTGTCACCCACAAAAGTTTTCTCATGCGCCTTTATAATCCCTGCTTCCCATTCTTTTTTACTTTCTCCTCCCACCTCCAGACAACTACTGATCTGCTTTCTGTTAAAACAATTTGAATTTTCTAACATTTTATATAAATGGAGTTATGTAATATATACTCTTTGTCTGACTTCTTTCACCATACATTATTTTGAGATTCACCTGTATTAGTTGTACAAATAGTTCATTACTTTTTATTGTATGAATATATCACAATTTATTAATCCATTAGTTTGTTGATATTTGGGTTGATTCCAGTTTGGGTTATTACAAATAAACTGCTATGAACATTTATGTGCAGGTCTTGGTATTGACATATGCTTTTATTTCTATTGAGTAAATACCAAAGTGTGATATGGCTGGATCACACTGTAGGTTGTATGTTTAATTTTTTTAAAAAATTAAATATTTTTATTGATTTCCGAGAAGAAGGGAGAAGGAGAGAGAGATAGAAATATCAATAGTGAGAGGGAATCATTGATTAGCTGCCTCTTGCACGCCCGCACTGGGGATTGAGCCCACTACCTGGGCATGTTCCCTGACTGGGAATAGAACCATGACTTCCTTATTTATAGGCTGACGCTCAACCACTGAGCCATGCCAGCTGGGCGAACCAGCAACCTTTTGATGCACGGGGTGACGCCCAACCAACTGAGCCACACCGGTCATGGCTTTATCTTTAATCTTTTAAGAAACTGCCAAACTGTTTTCCAAGATAGCTGTACATTTTACACGCCCCCCCTTTCAACTCCCCGAGTAGAGTATGAACATTCTGCTGACTCCATATCTTTGCCAGTTCTTGGTAGGGTCAAACTGTTTAATTTTATCTGACAGACTATTTTAATAAGAAAAGATTGTCCTGGTAGAATTGATTTCCTCTCATAACTTTTATATCTAAAATGCTACAAAGTGCCTGCTGGTGTGGCTCAGTGGTTGAGCGTTGACCTTTGAACCAGGAGGTCATAGTTTGATTCCCGGTCAGGGCACATGCCCAGGTTGCAGGCTTGATCCCCAGTGTGGGGCGTGTAGGAAGTAGCTGATCAATGATTCTCTCATCATTGATGTTTCTATCTCTCTCTCTCTCCCCCTTCCTCTCTGAAATCAATAAACATATATTTAAAAAATATAAATAAGATGCTGTGAAAATACTTTAAGATTGCTTCTATTTACTTACTATTTTTTTGATAGTATTTATTCACTGATGCTGATTTGAAATTCGGTTTATAAGAACAAATACATTTCCTTCCATTTACTTACATCTTTTTTTTTTTTTTTTGTCCTAGCGGCCCCTTTGTTACTTTATGCAAACAGAAGGGACTTACGATTGGTTGATGCTACAAATGGCAAAGAGAATGCTACAATTGTAGTTGGAGGCTTGGAAGATGCAGCAGCGGTGGACTTTGTGTTTGATCATGGCTTGATATACTGGAGTGATGTCAGCGAAGAAGCCATTAAACGAACAGAGTTTAACAAAACTGAGAGTGTACAGAATGTTGTTGTTTCTGGATTATTATCTCCTGATGGGCTGGCATGCGATTGGCTTGGAGAAAAATTATACTGGACAGATTCTGAAACTAATCGGATTGAAGTTTCTAATCTAGATGGATCTTTACGAAAAGTTTTATTTTGGCAAGAGTTGGATCAACCTAGAGCTATTGCCTTAGATCCTTCAAGCGGGTAAGTTTTGTGTAATGTACAAAGGATATTGCATCTCCTCCTGATTTCTCTCCACTAGCATAGACCCCTCTCACCCCCAAGAGAAAATAGAGCAAAACCAAATGTTAAATTTTTTGGGCTTCTTTGTCAAGTACACTTGAATGTGGGAATTTATGTTGGGTTTTTATAGTAAGGTGTTTCTGTAAGTTTTGTGTTTCTCATATTGCAAATTTATAGTTCTTGGTTTTTCTTCTCCATTTATTTTTTTGTAATTATGAGAGGATAATTAGAAGGCAGAGAAGAAGGAATGAAGACTTAACAAAAGTGATAGCTCAAGATGATAGAAACATCTGCATCTTGTAATTTTTTATATACATAGTTATTTTGTAATACTGGTATCTTTTATATAAAACTCTAAAGTATTATTTAATGTCAGTATTGAATGAAAAATAAAAATTAAGTTGTTAAATAATTCATTTCCAGTTAGCTAAACATATATTTGCTATAAAGGTTTATTTTAAAATGAAAAGGGAAACTTAAAGCTGTGGGTAAATCCCATTAGAAAATGTAAACTGTGTCCCCACATGCTTCTTTGTTACTGTGCTTCAGTCCTGCCATATACCATTCCTTGATATTTCTCTGTTGAATACATTGTCATACCAGGGTCTGTCATGGCTAAGTATATATAACTATCTCAACATGAACCTGAAGTGAGTTACTAATAATTGATTAAAATTTAAAGATAACCTATAAATAACTATTTTAATATTTTGATTTCTTTTATTTTCAAGTATGTTAAAATGTTTTAAAACTCATTTATAAAAAGGAGGATAATAATATTATGTAATAAAACGAAACTTAGGGAAGAAAGAAAGGTTTATATGTGCTCCTTTGTCTTGATATCAGGTCTTATTTGGTGACAAAGGTTAAAGAAGGTACCTTGGAACATCAGCTACCTTTGAACATCAGCTACCTTCATGTTGTAGGAAAATGAAAAGATTGTTTGACTATAAAAGAAAATAGGGCAATAGTGTAGTGACATTTTAGGATAAAGGATTCTGGAAAACACAAATATATTTATATATGCTTTATATATACTTTATATAACAAAAATTATATATTTTTTAAAGGGCTGTTAAATTACATGCTAAAGTCAGATGGTCACTTAATAAGGCATCAGAAACTATTTATGTGACTCTTGTGGTAGGAAAAGAGTTGAGTATCTATCTCATGGAGAAGGTTGCAGCTGTTGGATGTGCAGTGAATTGTACTCATTTGACAAATTTGGTTGTTGAGAATTTGCGAGATGTTTTTGAGAAAAGGAATCTGTGTTTTGCCTACAAGGTTTGTCTCAGGTAGTGTTGAAATGTTTTTGAGGTTACTGCTTTGTAGAATACACGGGGTTTTTTTGGTGGTCATTGGGGGGTAATATTTTGATGAAAAGGTAAATATTTCTTTTTCTTTTTGACAAACTCAATCTTATAACTGTGAGAGTGATGTTGGAAATTCACCCAAATATATATTAAATGTTTAGTATGTTTAGAGCTCTGCTTTTTTGTACTCTTGTTGGAGAGAGAGGGATAATACCTTTAAGGGTTTACTATCTATTTAAGGACAGAAAACTTGGGAGAGAAAGAACTTTCCGTTCTTCAAAATATGTTTCCCTGCATTATGTAGTATGTATATGTAGAAGGGAAGAGTTTTAAAGGAATTAGAGGAACCACAGAACTCTTAAGGAAGATGGCTGGATAAAATATCTTGATTACCACAACTCTGGAGCAGCATTTGATAATTACTATATGTGATAATGATTATGTGATAGTACATATTCATGGTGCTGAATTTATAGACAACTTTTGACTATTCAGGTTCTAATAATTTAATTAGTAAATTAATCATTATCATTTTATTCCCTAATGAGCTCTACTTCTGGCTGGCAGGTCTTATAAATGTTTTAGCTGATGTCTCAGGTGGCAGCTGATCAATGATTCTCTCTCATTGATATTTCTATCTTTGTCTCTACCTCTCCGTTCCTCTGTGAAATCAATAAAAAATATGTTAAAAATTATATTTCAAACTCATGCATTTTAAAATATATTTTATCAAGCAGTCTTTCATGTTGATTTAAATTTGTGTTAAGGATTGTGGTTTTAATGGAAAAGTAATTTTAGATTGAGTACATCACTTATTAAACAGAAGAAATGATTTCCAGATTTATTTTTTTGGAAACATCAAGTTTTCTTTCCAGAGAAAGTACATGAAAACAGTGCTGAGGAAAAATGTAGGCTTTATTAGAGTTCCAGGATCTGGGTTATGAGGTTCAGAAGAGCTGACTGAGCTTTCTCACATCAGCTTATGTAAAAGGAAGGCTATTGAATGACTAGTATTGTTTGAGCCCTGGGAACTAGTGCAGACATCTGTGTGCTTTCTGATGTATGGAGTTCTTTGTATAATCAGCCCATTTAGCCTAGACTGAAAGATGATTTTTATTTCTCTCCCTAAATTTGGGCTCTATTAGTCTGAGATTTTTTTCCCTCTTTTGAGTGGCAGTGTACAATTCAGAATAAGGAACAGGAAAATGTGTATAGAAATTGGTACAGAAATGAACAACCATAGTTATAGAAAGCTGTATCCTTACTTTATTCCTGACATTATGGCTGCTCCTAATGATAGAGTTCCTTAATCTGTTCCACAATGACTGTACTAATCTTTGTGATGTTGAGGAACTGCTGTTTCATGTACAAATAAAGCAGTCCCAAGGGCTTTTTGTTTTGTAAGGATCTATTCATATTCCAGATCATTTTGGATATTTTTTAAAGAGTTAAATTTTAGTGATTCAGTCAGAAGTAAATTCCTACTGAACAGCTTTTACTAATATACAGTTGACCCTTGCACAATGCAGGGGATTAGGCCCAACTCCCACCCTTATGCAGTCAAATATGCACATATAACTTTGGACTCCCCAAAAACCTAACTACTGATAGGCCTTTGTTGGTGGGAAGCCTTACTGATAACATTAACAGTCAATTAACACATTTTATATTTCTGTATTACAATAAAGTAAGCCAGAGAAAAGAAAATGTTATTAATAAAATCATAAGGAAAATATATTTATAGTATTTATTGAGAAAAATCCTTATGTAAGTGGACCCATACAGTTCAGACTCATATTCAAGGGTCAATTGTATATTTTAAAAATACATTTTTTAGCCCTAGCTAGTTTGGTTCAATGGATAGAGCGTCGGCCTGTGGACTGAAGGGTCCCGAGTTCGATTCCGGTCAAGAGCACATGCCTGGGTTGTGGGCTTGATCCCCAGTAGGGGGCGTGCAGGAGGCAGCCAATCAATGATTCTCTCTCATCATTGATGTTTCTATCTCTCCCCCTCCCTTCCTCTCTGAAATCAGTAAAAACATATTAAAAAATACATTTTTATCGTTGCTAAGAATAATATTAAGAACACTAGAAGTTCTACTTTAAAAATCCTTGTAGACCTAACTTAAAGGAAAATTAATGGTTTATAATTTCCATCAATTGTATACATATAATTGTCATATCTTGATTATTTTCTACTCTAGTATATCCCAGATGACTAAAATAGTTCCTGCCACGTAGTAGGTATTCAATAAATATTTTTTTGAGGGTGTGGACTTTACATTTTCTTTTATAATACTATTAGTTTTAATTGTTAGGGAAGAAAGCATTTTCTAAGCAAATGTAAATGTTAGCACAAGTACTTATGATTTCTGAATCAGTATGGCTTTGATTACAGTCATTTATTTAAAAACAAAAGTTTTACTTTTTTCAACAGAAGTTATTAAGATCACATTTTGTAAAAATATACTCACTGACGCTTGTTTTATGTCACATACAGTTCTGTTTTCAAAGATGTGCTGGTGATTGGGGAACCCTATTTTCTAACCATAAAATCTAGAACTGGTTCGGAATATTACAGATCTTCTAGCTAAATGCCTTCACTTTTTGGCTGAAGAAACCAAGGCCTTTGGCCAAAATTAGATAAGAGAAAGCTAGATTCTTAGTTGAGATTTTCTGATTCCATGTGTGGTGCTTTCTTCTTCATGAAAAATGTATCTTGCTGAAGCTATGTTTTTTTGTTGTCATTGTTTTTGCAAATGAATTATTTTAAAGATGCAACATTGTAGCTTATTTAAAGGAGGATTTTATAAATTCTTGTGTTTTAAGATTTATTCACTGTACCAATTTCTTACTTTGCCATTACTTTTTGCACTTAATCCATTTGGGTTCAGCTTCCTTCTACTTGGAGTATATTTTTTAATATTTCAGCAAATAATGGTAAACCCATGGTCTTAATCTGAAAATGTATATATTTTGCCTTCATTCTTGAAATGATAATTGATTATAGAATTATAAGTGACATTTTTCTAAGTTCTTTGAAGGTATTATTACTTTAATTGTTGTTTTAATAAGCCTACCATTTTCTAATTATTGTTGCTTTGAAAGGTGCCCCCCCCCGCCCCCCACTTCTTTAAAAGCAGCCCTTAACTTTTTGTATTTTTCAGCTTTGCCTACCCTGTGTCTAGATGTGGCTATATTTTCTTTTTATCTTGCGTATAACCCATGTTTCTAGAAGTCTAATAATTATTGTTACTTAATTCTAGAAAATTATTATCCATTATTTCTTACTTTTCCTTCATTTTGGGGGTCTCCTTTGGAATGCTTGTTTGATGTATGATGGATTGTCTGATTTTCTGCTCCATACCTCTTAATTTTGCTTTTATATTTATGTATCTATCTGAATTACTTTCTGATTAATTTTTGTATCTGCCTTTCATATAACAAATTCTTTCTTAGCTGTGCCTAATAATGAATCCATTGAGTTTTTAATATCATTGACTGTATTTTGTTTTTCTAGAAGTTCTTTATGCTCCTCACTTAAAAGACTTATGAGAAAATGTCAACCTACATAAAAGTAGAGAATAGTGTATCAATAATTTTAAACTTACAAAAGAGTTTCAAAAATAATAGAGTTTATAACCTTCAC